ATGTCTATCGTAGCCACTACAGTATTGGTAGCCAGGACTCGAATAAAAAAGAAGTCAAATCACAGTCGTACTATGGCGTTTGTGACCATGTCCTCCCTGTGCTTCATGTTATCGTTAACCCTAAGTCGGAATAGTACTGAGTCTTTTGCGTCACGCAGGGGAAGCTTGAGATGCTGTTTGCTCGGGCATAGAACTGATGCGTCCCGCCTGGTGCGTACAGTTGTGTTGCCCGGTTGCTTCCAAGGGCTGAGATCGAAGAGGGAGGCTTAGGCAACTTGGTCTATGGAATCCAGGCTGTCTCTGAGGGGGGACGGGCCTTCCTACTCTGCAAGCTCAAGCCGTCATCTGTTCAAAAGTGCGGAGGCTTCTCGTGACTTGGCCGTTGCAGGTTCCGTGGTCTCTTAGTGGCGGTGTGATCACATGTCTAAACGAGGAGTGCTGGAGAGAGGGGTAGGGGAGCGACTAGAGAGGAAGGACAATTGGAAGGAGTCAGATGGCGGTTTTGTTCTGATACAGGAGGTGTCTTGACTTCCACTCGCAACGTTTTGAGGTGTTCGCGAATAGATAATGACGGCGGTAGGGGGAATGCAGAATCCGCGATGAGTATCTTGAAGAGCTACGGCGACGAGATGGAGAGACCAGTAGGTCCACAGGGTTCCTTTGACCGCAACTTTGTGGTGGAGGAGAAACGACCACGCTGGGCGGTCTGTATGCTCAATCAGAGGATGTGCTCCACCAAGTAAAGAAAGGAGCGAGAAGAAACACGAATTCAAACATGTCAGTGTGCGTTGCTCATGGCTCATTGCTTTTTCAAGAGGGAACATACAGTGATAGGCAAATGAGGAGAAGTGTTGAGTTGTGTGTAGGCATGTCGTTAAGCAATGTACTAGGGCAAGCCGTTGACTGTTATGGTAGCCGGGCATCCTTTCTGGACTAAATTCAGGCCGCAAACTTTGCTTTTTCGGGCATACTCTCGCGGCTTTGAAGAAGCACATGGCTGAGGTGTGAGACGTAGAATGGGAAGAATAGGGTCCATTATATAGTATGTATATGTGTGCTAGCCAGACAATGAGAGAAAAGCAGCGGAGATCCCTACGACGAGGAAGGAAGCTACTCACCGGTCGCGGAAATATTATCGAAGAACCTGTTCACTGCAAGTTCTGCGGAACCGCTGCGGTTGGAAGTTGTGTTGCATCGCCGTTGAGGCTTCAGGCGCCGCTCAGGAGTCGCCCCGAAATCAAAGGTATGCTTGGATTCCTGTTGAAGCAGACAACGCGAGACAATGACAGTCAGTTTGCGAGTTAAGATGCCTTGAATAGCTGGGCTCTCTCACCTTTAAGTCTGATCCGTATGAGAGTACCGTTAGACAGTCCAGGAGCTGTCTTAAAAGGCCGGTTTATAAGCCTCTCGAATCGCTTGTCTTTCTTAGATAGACGGCCCCAGAGACTGAACTTTCGGGAGTTCGGTCCATGGACACATGCGGTCGGCTCTCAGCTGACGCATTTTCTTTTCTAAAGAAAACAAGTGATTGTCAATCTTGGGTAGGATCAAAAGGTAACCAGGTATCAACTGCATGTCAGGTAACTACCATCTAGCTCCATCTGCCATTTACCTCTTCTTCTGGTATGAATACAACACAGGTACTAATACAGACGGAAATCATGCAGTGTATCCTGAATCTAAAGATAAATCGGGCAAGGCCCGGTCATCTATCTATCTAGTCGTTGCTGTCAATAATTAAATGACCCATTCGCAAGCTCTTCGCTGTACACTCACCCTACACCGCGAGTATCAAACGCGCATGAAAGGAAAGGAAGGCAGTTGTTCCCCTGGGTGCCAGTTATTCGTTCATGTTGTGATGTCACAGGCGGGTGGCAGGGTTCAGATCTGAATTGGTGGAACCTTCCGCAGCGACGTTTCTCCACCTCGGATACTGGCTGGACCTCCCTTGTGGTCAGGCAAGTTGTGTACGGCCAGCATACATGCCGATTTGTGTTGGGTGACTGAATAGTCTAGTGTGTTGGGCAGCATCTTGTCCGCGATGGCATAGGTCGTAAGCGCCGACAGGAAAGGGAAAGTGGGGAGTTAGCGAAGAGCAACAATACCAGAAGAGCAGATGGCGGAATTATTGATCTCATTGGAAAACGGGGTTTTGGCATTTTGAAAAGCGTTCTCAGGAGCTGTATCAACTTATCCCTCGAAAGGCAGCCTCCTGGTCCCAAAGACTCGCCACCCTTGCTGTTGGCTATTTTACACAATGCCCTCTGGTTCATGATATTGCTGTAAGACACCATTTTACGGCACGACAAGAGACTGGATTCAGTATGCCGGCCTTATGTTCTTCCGTTCATTGCCCTGATATATATCCTCAACTGGTTCTAAGGTGGACGAGTGTTGTATCTTTACGTGAGATCTTCCTTAGCGTTCCTAGCGCTGAGGTACCTGCCCTGTTCTTTAGGCCAGCGACCAAGGAATCGTCGAGCGTAGTTGTGGGAGCCCGAAGAGGTCCTTGAGGCTCTTAGTTGCCGTCTCTCGCCGTATCTGCTTTGATTGTGTTTTCCGCGATGGATGTAGCCTCAGAGAATTATGGGGCAGTCACACTTGCACTTGGGCATATTAGAAAGATGGTATGGTGATAGGTGTCTATTAGCTGATGCCGTGTAACTCACTGGTCTAAATCCATGAAGCCACTACCAGGAGAGGCGTAGAGAGTTCTAAGCATGGACGGAATCCAAGTCCCCATCTTCGTAGGCTTTAGGAGGGGCCCGGGCCAGTGACAGTAAGCGGTCAGCCCTTGCGTAGCCCGGTGATAATCCCTGTAGAAAGTCTTTCCTCGTTTCTTGGATCCAGAAATTTGAAGTGCTAGACCAGCTCCCGCACCGTTGATGGTGTCTGCCTGGGGAGAGTGAGGCCACTCAAAGATCTATGCTATTCAACGCCACGTTCTTTATCGCCACTTCTGTTTTATACTCCGAGGCACAATACGGCAAGTGATGCCTAGAAGGCATGGAACGATTGTAAGAGGGTCGTTTTTACGAGAATAGAGCATTGATACCGTGAGATCCCAATGGTTCGGGAATCGGATTTAAGTGGCGACCATAGAGAGGCAGCGGTTCGTGAGACTGGAGGTGGAGAAGAAGAAGAAGAAGAAGAAGAATAGGTAAAGGCTATAGAAAACCACATGCCTTTCATAGGGATATGGTTTGAACCAAGGCCCGAGACCTTTTACTGATTTTCTCTAAGTACTAATTATCTGAGACTGGAGGGCAGGAAAATCTGTTCGGGAAGTGTCAAGACGTTGTCGATTATCGAGCCTCCACATCGCAGCTTCAATGATGGGGGGGCGCAAGAAAAAGCTCAGTGGTATATAGTAGTACTGAAGCGACTCGTACTTTTCCCAGTGGAGCGTTGGCGCATCTACACCAAGACGGATGAGTTTAATATATTGGTAGCGCCCGTATTTAACACCTTTTACTTCCTTCCATATTGGGACGTGTTCTGGCTGCGACAACCATCGTAATGACCGCTTATTCAGCGCGGTGTATGTGGAGGCGCTACATGATTCAGGGAAGATATGTTTTGTTTACATAGTCCCGTAGAGGTGATCTTGCCCAAAGAGGCCTGCTAGCGGCCTCTGAGATGCTCTCGACGCGGAAGCTCATGACGTCGGCAAGAAATGTCGGGTATTACAATGCTCCAGGTCTTCAGGTTGGCCCTTGTCACTCGAAGGTAAGTGGGCTGGATAGGCCAGATATTCATTTACTGACCGTTTCCTCTCAACATGAGTAACCTGCTCCGGTGGGTTTGTGAGGCTGTCAAGTCTGAGGAGGGCACATATGGGCATACCGCAGACTGGCTTAGACACTCAGAGTTTTTGCCTCGGATAAGTACAGGCATTCCGTCATCACCCGCACCTCTGAGTTTCCACACATCAAGATGAAATGGCCCTACAAGTTACTGGAAAAATTGACCACTGGACCACAAGAGAGAGGCGCCGCGAAACATATTCGCCAAGCTTCGGAGTCGGTGCGCCCGTAGATCATATAGACGCCGATGTCCTACTAGTTGTGGCATGACCAAAGCTCCATAGAAACAAAACATGTAAGAGCAAATATTATCGTCAGGGCCATGCAGACGAGGAGGCGGGCGCAAGTGAGTGTACTTATGTACTCTGTACTGACCACCGTTGCAGATCAATATGTGAGGTCTCTTAAGAAGGTCCTCCGTGCTTCAGATTTTCGTGTTTCTTTTGTAGATCTGCCGGGTCCGGGGCCCCTCGGACATTCATGTGACCCGTGTCGAGGGGAAAAGCACCGCAGCGTCCGGGTCACCTCCCCCAGAGAAAGAGGGGAGGCCCACGCGGGATTCGGCTCCCGGCAAGATGAAGAGAGAGAGACAGAGCCAGTTCTTTCTGAAACCGGCGGCGAATAAACGAGAAGGGTTGGGCCGCATGAGATTTTCGAATTCGGGTACGGAGCTGAACCTTCGGATGTGAGTACTCATCACGGCCGAATACTTTGACGAATCGCAGACCAGGGACTCAAATCTTTCATGGTAATAAGTCCAAAGAGGAGTGGGCAGATAGTTGGAGTGGCAAGAAGACTGGACACGTTTGTTGGTTCAAGCTCATCAGTACACGCACTCTCCTCGTGTGATCGTTTACAATTTGTCATTCACAAAAACAAAAGGTACAATATGATACATGGCGAGATTTATATACGCCCATGGACGCTCGCTTGCTCGTGAACCCAATCTCACAGGACCGCTTTCTATACACAGGTGGCATGCCAAGGATATCGATGATTCGTAAAGGAAACATGAGACTCGAAAGAGAGTCTTTGCACGGCCAGCGTAGCAAGAAGTTGGTTGAGCCCGCAAAGAAAAGCAGAGGTTTCCGCCCCATCCCGTCCCATCATGCATCGTGAAATGTTCGTCCGTACAAATACATAACAGTAACACGATTTGTACAAAAGCCAGTGAGCCGCCCATTCATGTTCCCTTCAGTAGATGACCGTTACTCTCTTCCGCCGACGAGTAGGCTTCTGCTCGGCGCCCATCATGGGAGGTCCGGGCATGGGGTAGTCAAGGTTATCCTTGTAGATGTTGAACTTGATGCCCTCATCGTTGGCCTTGTACAGCTCTGTCGCCTTGACGCCGGGGGGCTTCTCGGACCCGCCGCCCTGGACGTCAATGTTGAGGCACTGTGGATAGTTCTGCGCGCCGCCCTCCCGGCCGGCCTCATGCAGCGCAATCGTCTCGTGGCGGAGAACGTACTGGCCGGGTGCGATGCTTGCCGGAATCGTCATCGTCCACGACTTGTTGTTGGATAGCATGTCGTCCGAACCCCACTTGCCGGGCGCTTTGGCACCGTCGACGACGCCGACGGCGTCAATCTTGAAGAATTGCAGATCGGCCTTGTTGACCTTGGCGCAGTCGCCATTACAGGGGGCCAGATAGTCCATCATCGGCCCGTGGTGCGACTCGGGCCAATCGGTCCAGAAGACGGTGACATTGGAGCCCGCTGTGACTTTTGCGGCGATCGGTGCCGGTTCCGCGCCGACGTGGCAGATGATGTCTGCGTCTGCGTACTTGTCTACGGCGACGAAGCCGTTGGACAGATCCTTTGGGATGGACCATCCTATGACTTGTGGCGGGGGCTTCTTGTACTGCATCTGAGGGCTGTAGCCTTCATAGCTGGAGGGGGAGGAGCGGGTCAGCGAGGATGGACTAAAAGTGACTGAGATATCGAACCCGGACTTACAAGACTCCATCTGCCATAAGGCCGTTTACTGTCCCATGGGCACTAACGGTGTGAAGAGCGGCCGAGGCCAAGAAGGCATACTTCAAGGCGGACATGATAGAATCCTTGCGCGTATTCGTGATGTGTGGCTTCTTCAAAGTTCTGAGGTTGCGGTTTGGACAAGTCTGCGAGATGGAAAAACTAGGGTTACGTTTTAAGGATTGTTGTGACTTATATGTTCGTTATCAGCGAGGGATCAGCGACTGTTTGTGGGGGAAAAGGAGCGTAATTAGTCGACCAGCGCACTAGAGTATTATCAAAGAATGTGTAAGTTGCTTCCCAGACGTGACATCGGTAGCAACGGGGAAGCTCTTGGGATGACGGTTGTTATATCACACACCAAGAAAGCCGCAGGGAACGCCGCGGCTAGGGAGTCTCCCGGTCCCGATTCATCCGTTCAAACAAACAAAGTCTTCAGCTTTCCCCGTGCGCTGATGTTGAGACCACCCACAGCGCAAAAAGAAGGTGCAAAACATCAGACACAGAGAGTAGACGATGACCTCAGGTACCGGCCGGGATTCGAGCTACGATTGGCGGAGATCGGATCTTCACCATCCAGAACGTCGGTTCAGAGTATCACTTGGTCATGTTCCCTGTTTCAAGACTGGGATAATCCATTGTTCCATTCGGCGTCTCTTCTATAGGAGCGTCCGTGCAAAGCACCCTTCTCAGCCTCATAGAGTTATCTTCCGACGACGCTTCACGTTTTCTTGTCTGTTGTGGGGGGAGGAAAGTTTTGTTCCGAGCTGGGACTGCATGGCCATCCTGGACGAAGTCGGGATTTCCTCTAAGTCTATTGCGCTCGTTTGCGAGTCGACTCTATACAGTCGCCCGGCTTCGTCTCAATGATTTCCCGATTCGGTAGTGGCCTCGGCTCTTTCGTCCAGGCCTTTCAGCCCTCGTTTTCATGCGATAGTCCTGAACTGATATACGTCCCAAACTTTGCGACCGTTTCATCCGTCCACAAAGTGTTCATCTGCTCGCTCAAGGCAGCGCAAGCCCGCAGCATGACGTGCTTCTGCAACGAAACCTTGAGATTGGCTGCAGAGTCTTCGCGATTCATTCGTATTTCATCAGTATACTTCGGATCTGATGAGCTGACAGAGTCGAAAATAGGTATCGGTTGATTCATTTGGAGGTTGGGTTCGCCAAGGAACAACCTCAAATGTAGGAACCTTCGTCTACCTACTTGTCGACAAAATGTAATTGCGGCTGATGGTCTGTTCCGAGGACGTCGTCACATGCGGATGAGTGCCAGCTGTCCGAGTTGCTTGATCTTTGCGCATCGGGCAATATGCCAGCAAAGGGATTTCTCCCGATATCTCCGCCAGTCCAGATCGTCTCCTAAGCCTCAAAGCTGACTCAAGGCCCGCCACGCAGACTCTGCGGAATGCGATAGGTCAGATGTTTTCTTTCCCCATGTCCAGCCCCCTAACTCCATAACACCTCCAAATATTGCACAAAGCCAAGTCCCACCATGACGGCAAGCCGGTCATCCGAAAGTGTATCGTCCCGTCTACAGCAACTCGAAGTCGTCCAGCTTGTCGCGATACTTCATGATGTTTCTCTTGACCTTGCTGCCCACGGTCCATGTAACGAAGTCCTCCATGCTGCGAGTAACCAAGAACGCGGGATCGACACATGTTTCCGTGCCCACACGAACATGTCCCTGTTCGATGAGCTTCGTTGCTGCCTGTACGGTCTCGGCCATGCTGCGACATCTATATTAGCATTATGCCCAAAGAAGCAAGCTGTGAAAGTCTCCTTTTTCATACCGAAGGCGAGTCATGACGACGGGGAGACGTCGTCTTGCAAAAGCGCTGACTGTGACGTTGTGTTCGATGGCCGAGAGCTTCGAGGCCGAGGAGAGAACACCCATGTCATACAGCTTGTCGAGGAGCAGTTGCTCGTGCTTTCGGCGGGCCGCGTTTTCCGGAGGCATCAGGCTTATCCTATGCGCCAGTTGACGGATGGACTGCGCATCCGTGTCAATTTACGTCTCGATGTGTATTCGACCGCAAACTCGGGGAGATATTCGGAGAACTTACGCCGCATAGCCTGTTGTATTTGTGCTGTCAATGTTAGCGGTGGTTCATGATACGGGCGTCAACTGTGTAACTCACATAATCTTCGGGCTTCTGAATCATGTATCTGCGCACCTGTTCGCATGTTAGATTGTGTCGCGCACATCTCTTCTCGTGGAGTCTGCCATACCACTGCGGCGTCTCGGTGGTCGCCATCCTGGTAATTCAATGTTAGCACATGCGCCTCGGGCCGCTGCGCGGGCGAAGTGCGGTTGATCACGGTACCTGCTTGTATGTGATGAAGTCGTGCTTCCGTAGGAGCTTCTGCTCGTGATACTTGAGTTTGCGGACCATGCTGGGCTATTGACGTCGCGGATTCCCAGTTCGGTTTGGCGATTGACTACGGTAACGAGTGGTCGCGGCAGAAGAAAAAGTTCTGGAGCTGGCGGGACAAAATTCCTTATCGCCGCCAACGCTTATCGGAGGAGTGGGGCGGGAGGTTCCGTCGGCCTACCAAAAAATTCCCGTGACAGCTTCAACATCTCGCGACAGATCACGACTCGCTGGGATATTCCAACAATTCCTCACAAAACCAGCAATGCCTCCTAGACTACCACTCATTTCGGCCATCAAGGCACCGAGCGCCTTGATGGCCCGGGTCGCGCGCCCATTCTCGTCAACTCCCGCAGTCGCCCGTACGTCAATGACCCTTTACAGCTAGCTCCCTTATCCCCGTGGCGCGAAAGCTAACGTCAAGCTTTACAGAGTCCTCCAGCTCCGATCCGATCAAGAACCTCCTGAACCTCGACGAGAAGCCCAAGGTGCACTCTGCCGACCGTATCCGTGGTCTCATCAACAATGGAAGCAAGGCCCGCTTGGAAGGAGCTGCGGCTCGGAAACGCACCATGCTCGAGTCTCTCCGCGAGAAGAAGGTTAGCGATGACTATGTCAAGCAAATGCCGCGTCGCTGGCGTACCGGTGAGGTATACGCACCGCACGATCTCAGCCCTCTTGAGATGGAGAAATGGCGCAGGCAAAAGACCGTCACGGTCGATGTCGTTGACTTGTTGGGGATCAACCCCTTGGACCACTACAGAGTATGTTTCACCGGTACCTTCTAAACGCTCTGTCTGCTAATTCTGTGTTGCAGAACTTCTCAATGATTTCCGAGTATATGACAAACTTCGGACAGATCAGGCACAACAAGGAAACAGGACTGAAGCCGACGAACCAGAGGAAGATGGCAAAGGCGATCCGGAGAGCGATTGGTATGGGTATCCACCCTAGTGTGCACCACCACCCCGAGCTGTTGAAGAAGAGATTCCGCCTCAATGCGTCGTGGAAGTAAAGACTTTGGAGAGGCTTAGTGTTTGGAAAGGCTCGCAGGGCCTGTGGATTTGTGTGCGGAAATTGGGAGTCTCTCCCGTGTATGAATTGTACAATATCTTGGCGTCTATTATAAATGTACAGATACAAGAAGCTCCTCCAGTACTTATTGTACACATCATGCCTTCAGCACACGCTGTAGCTTGAACTTCTTCAGTTTTTCGGGAGTGTAATAGTAGCGGAACTTCTCCACCTCCGCCCACTCCTCTGGGAACTGCTTCTTGGCCCACGCCTCGAACTCCCGCTGCAAGCCTTGCCCAGGCAACGCGTTAAATGGAATGCCAAGCCTGTACAGATGTTAGCTATGAAGTTTGACAGAGATTGGAGGGATGAACTCACGTCATGGCATCAGGCCCATACCCAACAGCTCGCTTCATGGTTCTGATCGTGCTCTGGACCTCCTGCAGATTGCCATTGCCTGCCAGGCCACCGCAGTAGGAAGCAAAGACTGCCGGTGGAACATCGACCTCCATCTTCTCGATTTTCTTCCAGATATCCCTGGCAATCTGGTCGCCAAAGGCCTTAATTTCGCAGAGCGAGAACACAATCTCGAGACTGTTGTATGAAGGGCCTTCCGAAGACCTGACAATGTCCTGCCAGTACTCCAAGGCTATACTCGGTTTCCTGCATGCACCATAGGCAATCATCAAAGCGTTGAAAATCTTCGTGCTGGGCTGGATTTTCGTGTCCATCTTCAGCATGTTATGGACCAACTTCGTGCTGTCCAAGTCGGGACACCTGCCCATGCCTTCCAAACATTGAATGTAGGCTTCGCTCTTGGGGTGGAATGTTGGGTTGACATGCTGCCGCATGTGTCCGAATACGTGGACGGCCATGTCGGAGCGGTTGCGGTTGAAGAATGCGTCCATGAGTAAGAGACGGCTCGCAACACTGGTCTCCTGGAAGAACTGACGAAGGATGCAATAGGCGTCCCAAACTCTCGCGGTACTGTTTTTCTTGTCCAAACAGTACGCCACAAATGCATCTCTGATGGATCGCCGTTGTTCGTTGCTATGTTGAAATACATTCAGCGACAGTGTGTCGATAATTTCGAATTGCTGGTCATTCTTGAGGAAGACCGTGCATAATGCGACCACTGTCTCTGGGTCTAATGTAACAATTCGGTCCTCCAGAATATCCAGCATCTCGCGTATCGCCGTGGAATTCGGGGTTGCTTGGTAGCATAGCGCTTGGAGATACTTGTTGATCAGGGGCAAGTCGTCTTCTCCGTTCAGCTCCGCCTTGGGGAGCTGCATGTATGCCGCCCTGGCCCCTGACAAGTCCTTTGCCCGGATCTTGAAGTCCATTTGGAGAAGGTATGTTGTTGCATCAGGCCGGATGTCGAGCTCGCTTGCGAACGAGACAAGCCTGTCTGCCAAATAAGGGTCGTTCTTCTCAATAGCAACCTCCAGCAGCCCATTGATCGTTTGGGTGTCTGGTAGAAAGGCGCTGTCGTCGGGGTTGTGGCGAGCAACAACATCAAACATGCCTTTGATGTCATCAAGCCCTTTGCCCATGGACAGTACTGCCCACTGATAGATAACATCCCAATGCTCCTTGCTCGGGTTGGCATCAACGAGCTTCTTGAAGATTGGCGCTGTCCACCCGCGTTGGTTGTTTCTCACTGAAAAATGCAAGATTTCTTTGAAAGACCTGGGGCTTGGATGCTCGATGTTGTGAGCTGGCCTCAGAAACCACTTCTTGGTCTCCAAAACGTTGTCCTTCTTGGCGAAGAAAGTTGTCATCACCTCATGAAAATTCGCCGTGAAAGGCAAACCAAGTTTCTCGGCCTTTTTGACAGCTGCCACAAGCTCTGCCTCACGACCTTCCTCCGCCAGCCCCTGCAGGACATTGACCCAAAGATTCTGCGCGCCAGGTCGCTCTGCTTCAGATAATTGGGCCCAGTGTTCCTGCAACGCGGTCAAGGCTTCAGGAGATGCTCCAAATAATGTCAAGGCAACCAGGTACGACTCGAAGTCCCCCGATGCTCCAGGATCCGTGGGATCCAATGCCCGTTCTTCCTTGATTGCATCGTATAAGAGCCTGGAGAACTCCAGGTGGTCTTTGGTATCCTCTTTCGGCAACTTCAGCAGCGCTTCCCGCGCGTTGGTCAACTCTGACAGAGTCAGACCTGGACCCGGCTCGTCATCCTTATTTTCGAGCAGGTATTTTAACAGATTACGACAGTGCAAGGCCTGAGTGCTGTTGACGACGATGTTGAAGCGCACTTTGTACGAAAATAAGTCCCTAAATGCCTCGACCAATTCTGTTCTAGACGGCGGTCGAACGCTCTCCAAAAGGCGATTTCTCCAAGTCAAGACCGTCGTCCACCCAGGCTCATACTCTGGCTTCTTGATTTGTCTCGGGGGCTTCTGCAGGATACCGAAGAACGTCCTTCGCTGGGACCGTCGAGAGAGGAATATCGTCGAAGGTACCGGGAGCTGTGTATGGCGACACGCTGGCCGAGAAAGAATCGAACAGGCAGGGACGCTGCCCCTAGGAACAAGGACCCGTCGGCAGACATGGCGGGCTAATTGCGCCCTCATGGTGTGGGTTCAGTGCTTTGCGCGAAAGGTTCTTGATGGCGATCAGTTTGGAGATTATTGACACATGGCTTCAATTAAGCGTACCTGGGCATCTCCAGACCAAATCAAAGTAAGCGCGTCATGTGGTGAAGCGCAATGCCGATATTTGAAGCTCCAGAGATTTGCGAATTGGAATTTGGGGACACTGGAGCTCCCGGGACTTGGAAATCGCGGTAGCTGCCACCAAAATGCGACCCGCGCTCGTGGAGGACCCGCAGATTACCCGTGCTTAGTCATAATTTTGTTCACACCCGGCAACTTCGGTGTCAATGACCTCAATGACATTTAGAACCTCAAGAATCTCTCTTTCGTCAATGGAACTTGAAAGCTACTCCTGTTTCAAATTTACATTGCGATCACTATAGTCTACAAGCTCTCTCTCAATTCTCAATTCGAAAACTGCGTTCTGTAGCAGAGTGTAGTTTACACAATATGGTAGTTCCCTTCAGTTCTTGAACCAATCATACTTTACCCAATTCCAAGCATCATTATCGTCAACAGTGGATCCCAACGTTGATGGTTATCCAGGTTGATCTGGATCACTTTAAAACGACCGGCATTTTATTTCAAATTGCTTAGCAAGCGAGTTAATATCACGGTCCTAGTAGGCTTATAGTGACTGGAACCAAAACGGGATGGGAGCTAACAGCGATATCCAGACAGACCAAGACCACCGAGGGACCATTCGGCGCTGAATGGCAGAATTGGAAACTCAAAACGGACCGTTTGTGAATGATGATGAGATTCTCATGTTATGGCAACCGTTGTTGTACCGTTGCTCTCTGTGAGCGGGAGGAAGATGCCGATGGGAAGAGTCCAGACGACGCAGAGAACTAATCCCACTGCTCATGAAGCACGAGAAACGAGCGTGTGCGCGCTCAAATCCGGGTTATGGCCAGAGTTGGCACCTCGGTGTCAAGTGTTCTTTTTCCATTCTTCTTTCTTCGCCGGGCCGCATGAAGCACAAACACGCTCAGACCCACGATGAAGTCAGTGCGGAACCTGAGCTTAGCTACGATGTCATGGCAATTGGTTCATTCAAACTGCTTGAGTGAGAAGCATTTAGAGTGCAAGTGCGCCCTGCGAATTTGTTTTCGAAGGCATCAGCTTTCACACTCTGCAGTTGCAAATTGGTTCTAGAAACAGAAAGATCAAAACGACGACGAACCTTGAACCGGTAGTTAGCTCAAGACGTTTACGTACCGTTTTTGTAAGTCCTTGTTAGCGCGAAGCTATGCCTATTGACCATTTCTTACCAAAAGTAGGATACCTGAGAAGAATTCGGTACTTTTTATCCCGCTTCGGAGTGTAGTCCGACCTAAGCCGCTGGGCGGGCTGATACCCCGATAGCTTGACGACATACCGCCCAACTGGCCATTGAATCCTCTGACCTGCGCACTTTAGACCGACGGCGATATGTCAAGATCTCGTAGCTCCAGCCGCGGGTCTCTTGCGAAACAGACAGCAACACCGCCGCCAAGGACGCAACAGCCCAAAAGGAAAAATGGTGGCAGAGATGCCCAGTGCTACTTCTGTTGCTGCTGGTGCTGTTGGATAGTCCTCACCTTAGTCGCCTTATCCTGTGGCTCCGTCCTCCTGATGGCTGCCTCTCTTCCATTGCCGGATTCGGAGCCGCTCACCTCTTAGAACGGGGCCGAAAGCATAAAATCCGATAACTCCAGTTCGCCAACGACCAGCTTCATGGCGGTTATCCTCAAGTTGTAACGCTGTAGGATTCCTGCCTCGGTTCGGCAGCCGTGAAGGGCCTTTCGTTGCGTTCCAGCCCCCGACACAACCACTTGAGCTCAAGGAGGATGTAATTAGTTATTGCCCGATCAAGTTGACCTTGGACCTCCGCTCATCCAGCAGCTTTTCCACAAGCCCTTCTTTTCCAATCTCTTTGCATCTTCCTTGGATGAAGATGTCCACCATGCCAGACTTAATCAAGGCCGTTTCCCAGGTCGTTTCATCCCTCGTCGTTATCGGAAAACCCCTTCAGGCGATGGTCCAATCAGTGCCCCGTCCTGGCCCAGGAGAGGTCTTGATCTGCGTCGAAGCCACTGGTCTTCTAGCCCTTGATCAAAAATTCCGCGACTTCGGCGTTTTCAATATTGCCTCTCGCCTTCCCTTGGTGCTCAGCATCGATATCGTCGGCATGGTCGTCGAATACGGGATTTCGATCGCTCCAAGTGATGTCCCTTTCCCACCTATCGGTACGCGTGTCCTCTTTCAGGGGAATCTTCGTCGACCGCATGCCGGTGGCTTGGCCCCGTACGTTCTCGCCGATCCTCGACTTCTGCTTCCCGTCCCAGTGGCAATATCGTCCCTTCAAGCTGCAACGCTAATCACCAACCCCTTCACTGCGGCTCTTTCTCTG